AATCAGGTGGGTGGGGGTTGAATTTGAACCCTGCTTGGGGGGGGGAGGGGGGTAATCAGCTGACGGGGGGAATTGAATCTGCTTGTGGGGGGGTGTTTGTTATTGGGGAGGGGTATAGAGTCTATGGGGGGTGTCTTCAGACGGAAGCAGCTTTTCTGTATTTTATTTTTAATTTTTTTTGTTTTTTTTTTTTTTTTTTTTTTTTTTTTAATTGTTAGGGGGGGGGGCGGGGGGGGGGGGGGAGTAATTAACACTCAAAACACGAAATTTTTTTATTTTTTTTTTAAAGGGTGGTACTAGGGAGTCTTTTCAAATTCCGGGTTTGAATTATGCGCATCTGCATAGCATCGTGTTTGAGTTCGGAGGCGAACACAAACATGTTTGCCTGAACGAGAACAAGCACCAAAAACCCTCCGAACGCAAACATACAAAATATTATTTTAAAAGAAAACAAAAAAACTCAAAAAAATATGAAAAAAAAGTAATGTAAAACATCAATGCAAACAACTTTGGACTTGCAGTCATGTTCAAATTCTTTGTCAAACGTGAGTTAAAAATAAAAAAACGATTTATCATTTTTTCTCACATAACAAAAATTATGTTTGACCGAACACGTTCGCGAGCCGTTCGCGCGAACACGTTTGTCGTGCTACGCAGGCGCACATATGTTAGCCCCCTTATTCCTTTTTCTGTGCTCCTGCGGTTGTTTTTTTTCCCCTCTGAACCGAAGGTCTATATTCCCCGCCACTATCCTGCCCTTTTGCCGAGAAAAAAAGAAGGGGGAAAAAAAAAAAGGAAGAAGAAAAAACGGAAAAAAAAAAACGACAGGATAAAAAAAGAGAGCATTGAATAGGTTCCCTGCCACTATCCTGTCCTTTTGCCGAAAAAAAAAGGAAGGAAAAATAATAAAAGAAGGAAGAGGAAACAAAAAAAAAAAGGAAAAAAAAAAAAAAACACGACAAAAAATAAATAAATCGCATTGATGAAACCAAAAGACGGG